TCATGAGTATATACACAGCTGAATTAATAGCGATAGTGAAAGCACTAAAATATTTATCTAATATAAATCATAAAGTTTATAATTTGTAGTGACAGCAAAAGTACTTTAAAAAATTGGCAAAAAACGCTGTGACACAAGGAGTATTAACTCATTATCTTTGTAAGTCTAGAGATATAGAATCAGACACGTTCAAAGAGCTTAAGAAGGAATAGAAAGAAAGGTATATTAATGAAAATATAAATACAGGAAAGCATTACAGAGCAATCAGAAACCATATTACGGATAAAACTTCCCATTAATTTAAGTTATTTATTAACATTAGAAAACAATAAGTTTTTATATAGATTATTGTATAAACATGTTTAAGATATTAAATTCAAATTGCAATTGTACATTTAAAGTATTTCTTTGTAATATTTTAAAAAGTAATAAAAAAAAGAAAATAAAAAAATAATAAAAAAAATTAAGAAACAAATAAAACGAATATAAAAAATAAAAAAAGAAAAAATAAGGAACTTTGATAGTCCACTTAACGTAAAGTAGCTATTGAATTAAGTAGATAGCTGCAGAAGAGTTTACTGTGGAACTCTGAGGACCTCATCACTTATTTTATATATCAATAACTAAAAAACATTTTATAAAAAAATACTATATATTAGAGATCAATACTAGTAATAGTAGGATAAGTATTAGTAGGAATTTAGTAAAAGATTGTGTAGAAAACAATGATTAATGAAAAAATACGTACAAATTGTAAGATTGGCGAATGGATTTAGTGTCGGCAGTCATTTAAACACAAACAAACAACAATACCTCGAATGAAATTCATCTCTCTAAATGGGCCCAAAATACTTAAATATTTTGGCTTGGTGTTCATAAAGTTGTTCATGAATGGATTACAATGCCTTTTAAATGCCATTGATACAGTGGGAAGAGAGTTTGGCCTAAACATAAACTGTTCAAAAACAAAACACATGGTGTTTAGCCGTTTAGCACATCAAGATGCACGATTATATGTTGATGGTCATATAATTCAAAGAGTGTCCAGTTTTAAATATCTTGGTTGCCATATTACTGAACAACTAGATCCAGATCAAGAGATAAAATGCAGAATCGAGATAGCCCGCACGACATTTTTAAAAATGAGGTCACTCTTCTGTAATGATAACTTGCAACTTCAACTTCGAAAGCGCATGGTTAAATGCTACATTTGGTCAATCCTCTTATACGGTGTCGAAGCATGGACATTAAAAATATCCACCATTAAATGTGGCTGCACAGACGTATACTAAAAATTCCACGGACGGCTATGCTGACAAATGTGGCAGTCCTTGAGAGAGCAAATGCTGCTCGCGAGCTGCTTAATAACATCAAATGTAGAAAGATGGCCTATTTTGGACACGTAGTAAGGGGAGACCTATATAATATTCTTCAACTCATTATAATGGGTAAAATCGAAGGACGCAGAGGAATTGGTAGAAAGCAGGCCTCTTGGTTGAAGAATATCAGAGAGTGGACAGGAATAAAGAAAGCTGAGCAACTCTTTAGAATAGCTCGAGACAGAGACAGTTTCGCCATATTAATCGCCAATGTCAAGGGGACTTGATAGGGCACGTTAAGAAGAAGAAGAAGTTCATAAAGTTAAATAAAAGTGATTATAAAATAAATGATGAGGGTCCGGACAGTGATAAAATAAATCACGTTGCAAACCGTTCTGAAATATATCAGTTTTTAAATGATAAAACAAAAGATTAAAATTATTTTTGTTACTTTCTACACATAGTTATAGTGCTATCCTCAAGTCAACATAGTAAACGTTACGTGAGTACCAAAAATCACGTCATAGGATCTATATCAATATTAATATAACCTATAACATTCCGAAGAAATATAAACAAATCCAGTTTTGGGTCAAAATCCACACCGGTTTTCAAACCGGTGACAGGGCCGGACTTAAAATTAATCAGCATGACTTCGAATAAAACTATGAATACCAGCTTCATCTCACGTCTCATATTCCAGTGTTGTCAACACATTTAAAGATCCAACAAAAGAACAAGCTATAGTACGTTCCAGTATTGAAGGAACTAAAGTTCATGACTATATCATCGCCGTTGGTTCACTAGTTGGTCCACGTAAAGTATCCTTCGCTTCCAGAATTGCCAACAATAGAATATGTCTATATCTTTTATCTAAAAATGCAGTTGATGCAATACTATATTCCCACAAATATGTTAATATAAAAGAATCTTAAGCAGAAATAAGAGGACTTATCTCTCCAGCTCAAAGACTAGTCATATCAAATGCTTGTCCTACTGTTCTAAACACGTTATTTGAACATCAGATGGGTATAAACTCTGTCTCAAAAATGACTTTCCTAAGACTAGGTATGCCTGAAAGCGAATACAACCATATCTTGAGTTTATTACACCTTTAGACAATATGTTTATTCCTGATTCATTCATTATCTCTTATGATAATACCAATTATTGTTTATAGCTTTCTATAGTAGGATTTAACTGTACAAAATGCAAGACTATTGGTCATCAGGAAGATTAATGCTCTAATCAAGCACACCCCAGTACTTCTATTGTACACTCAGAAACTTCTTGAAACATATTACCTACAGTAAATACATCTAATAACCAAATATAACTACAAAGTTCTGACAAAGCTAATTCATCCACTGCTAGTGCACACTCAGAAACTTTTCAAAATAAATTAATTACAATAAAATCATCTAATAACCAAACAAAACAAATTATGGAAACTGACGAAAACCTACATGATCCATAAGTAATAGAAGGGAAATATCTTCCTTAAAAACTCCAACATCATCAGAAATCCTACTCCAGTAGAAATAACACCAAATGCAATTACTACAAACATCCCTAATCAACTAAAAAGGTTTATCTTATCTTCTCCAGATATTAACGAAAACACCCCACAGACCGATTCACAGATATTTACTTCTTCTGTAGTAACCAAACCAAAAAAGTCAAAAAAGTAAACCAGAAATTCCAGCGAAAAACTTTCACTTTCACTAGAATCAATTAAAGACAAAATAGAAAACAGATCAACACCGTTTATCCTAAACTATAATGATATATGTGAGTCTCTAGCAAACACAATATATGCGAAACACCCTGAATTAATTTCAAGAGATTACTTAAATGAAACTGCCAAGCTAATTGAGATCCTTATGAGAACTTTGTTCACGCTTATACCCACAATATTCAAAATTAAAAAATAATATAACTAGAAAAAAAAACTTAATCACTTGCAAAAATACAATTGCATAAGCTTTAGCTGATGTCTATCAACAAAAGTCCCACGACAAAAATATTTCTTACGAATCCCTAACATACAAGAAAAACATAGCTCCTATAACTCTTGAAGAGTTAGAGTTTTCTCTCTCAAATATAAAAAATACATCTGCAGGACCAGATGATATTCTACCAGTCTTCATAAAAAACTTACCATTCGAAGCCAAATTAATTCTGTTAGCTTTATTTAATACCTGCTTCTTAAAGCATGAATTCCCAGATCTTTGATCTCAAGCAATAATTATTCCCATTATTAATCCCTGCCAAAGTGGTTTTCGAAGAGGCAGTTCCACATTAGATAATCACGTTGCATTACCGACTTCAATTAATGAAGCTTTTGCAAATAAGCAAAAACTAATAGCAATATTTTTCAATATAACCCAAGCCTAGGATAGAGCATGGAGACAATGTAGTCTTGTCTAAATATTGAAAGATACTGGCATTCAAGGTAACATACTTGCATTTATAAACTTTTTTTTTAATCGCTCGATTCAAGTTAGAATAAATGGTGTTATAAGCTCATCTAAGATATTGGATAATGGAATTCCTCAAGGTTCGATTTTTAGTCCAACTTTATTCTTAATCGCTTTTAATAGTATTATGGATGTAATAAGAGTATCAATTCAAGCTAGTCTTTACGCAGATGACATTGTTATTTATACTAAATCAAATAATGTAATGACAGCAACTAAAATTGTAGTTTCCTAAATTAGTTTGTCCAATCTATTGGACGATAAAATCGGGATTTGAAAATTCTATTGAAAACATACGATACATTATTTTTAATAAAATAAAACCCCCTCACAACTAGTCTAACATTAAATAATTTACCTTTAGAACAGTCAAAAGAAAACTTTCTAGGTCTAACTTTTGAGAGAACTTTTAATTGAAATTCGCACATAAATAAACTGCAACTACAAAATATTATCCAACAAAATTTGGGATGCTGATCATAAAATATTAATTAGGGTTTAGAAATCACCCATTAAAACTAAAATCGATTATGGTTGTATATGTTACGATGCTGCATGTAAAACTACTCTAAAAAACTAAACAGTTTTTAATCCCCAGCTTTGAGATTAGCACTGGGAGCTTTTAAAACTAGTTCGGTTAGTAGTATGTAAGTTCTAACTGGAGAACCTTCCTTACATATAAGACGACAGCAACTATCATTGAACTACATTGCAAAGATACCATCCTACAAACAGCATCATGTATTTTTCCACATCTGCAACCCAGGCCTTCCTCCTAACGATAAGACTAAAAACTGTACACCCCTCAAAGAAAGAATAAAGCTCACAACTTTCAATAGGAATCATCTCAATGTATCACTCCATATAAATGCAAACTATCCCCCAATGACAAGCTATTCATTTATTGACGTAAACAGTTACCAAGTATCCCAAATTAACTACAGATTCCACAATAATTAAATCTCTATTCATGAAAATTCTAGGCCACTATCCTAATTATTTGCAAATCTTTACCGATGGATATGTTAAATGCTATATGCTAAATAATAACTGCGGCTTAAAACAATGTGCAAAAAACTCAAATCACACTCAACTATATTATTGTACTGATCTTTGACTTTGACCTCTATAAATAATAAGAAGATAATGCCTAAGTTTTTTTTAATGACAAAAAGACAGTAAAAGTTAGCTTCTAACTTACCCCGCCCATTCCTAGCACCAATCGACAGAAGAAGAGGATGCCCCAATGCCAACCAGCCGCAAAAACGCTTAAAGTATTCATTACTGTAGCTACTACATGGACTAACAAAATAACTTTTAGAGGGCCAAAATATTCAGCTATCAATCCAGCAAACAGGTTGGTGATGATGTAGCCGTAGAAGTAAGCTCCCAAAAGTGTTCCTTGAACTCTTTCATCCCAGTCGTATCTTGGTCCATACTAAAAATAAAAAAAGTTAAAAAATAAGTATTTTTTTTATTTCAAGCAAGTCCATTTAGTCAAATATATCAACATTTAACAAAAAGGGCCCAGTCTGGTTATGCAAAAATCATCGATTTCACGGCAAAATGTTTCGCAGATATCTGAAGCTTGTAAGACATAGGTGGGGGTTACTAGATGACGAATAAATGAAAAGATACTCCTATTTTTACCTTGCGTTTTTTTAAACAATAATTTATGGTCACAATTTGATTTTTTGTCTGTTTTTCCCTTATATTTTAAATAAACAATATTTATATCAATTTTGTATTTCAAGAATATCTTCATTTTTCCGTTTTTTGAATTAAAATTGATAAATAATTTACGGAGATATTTGCAAAAAAGCAGTTTTTTTACACTAATTTATAATATTGTTCTGAAGCTATTTTCTTGTGGCATTGTAAATTAATTACTATTTAACTGGGAATAAGACACAATTAAAGATAAAAATACGTTTATTCACGTTTCAATTTCCACTTCGGAAATCGTTCTCAAAATACAAACAGTAAATTAAACATTTTTTTTTTAACAAAACTAGATAAAAAATCAAATTGTGACCATAAATTATTGTTTAAAAAAACGCAAGGAAAAAATAGTGTTACGAACATGCTTTCGGCATGGCCATATAACGGATGCATCTCGAAGGATCGAGAAGTTACCGGCCATATATCGAGCGCTGGAAAATTCCACCCGTCGTCAGATAACGAACTAGATATGGGACTACTCCTGAATATTCTCGAACATAGTAACTTTAGTATATATAGGTAACGAAATTAGGAGTTAAGTTTGGTGGATAAGATAGTATCGAACTGTAAAGTTATAAATAAATATATTTATATAAATTCGAACCGCTCGTTTTATTTAATCACGCTACAGTGGTGTCACAGTGTGAGGACAATTGATTTATTAAAAAAATTAATTCATCAGTGACTTTAAAAAAAGAAAAGACTTTTGAACTTTTGAAAAGTATTGTTCGTCGGAAACATCCGCGTAGTTCGGCAGTGATCGTTGTACGAAAGAACATTTAAAAAGTACGTGTGTGCCTGACCAAAGATGCTGCTAGTACAACTTTCAGTAAAACAGTTGCGTGAACAACTAGAAGAAAGCGATGAAGACTGCAGCGGGTCCAAGAAGATCCTCCAAGAACGACTAAAGAATGTTCTTAACAATAATGGAGATGACCCAGAGACCTTCCATTTTCAATCAGCAGAAGAAGCAGTTTTAATGAAAATCGAAGAGAGTTCCAGAAAAAATGATAAGAAATTCGAAAATGTGTCTAGAAGATTCGACGAGAAATTTGAAAACGTCTCGCAAATGATTGAAGAAACTTAAAAAAAAATGATGATAAATTAGAGAACGTTTCCAAAAGATTCGATGAAACATTCGAAAATGTATCTAGAAGATTCGACGAGACTTCACAAATAATTAAAGAAATACATAGAAATAATGTATCCAGAACAATGAGAAATTTGAAGAAGTCTCAAGAACAGTCGATAAGATACAGAAAAATGTAAACGACAAGATAGAAGACGTAGAAGAGAAGATCAAACAATTAGAGACCATGATAACTAACACGAAAGTGCTACCACCAATTAATACGGTAGCTTTAGATCCGGTAGTAAAAGAAGAATCACCGAGAGACGAAACGACACATCATATGAGATTCAAATTGCCACCATTTGATGGAAAGTCCTCTTGGTCTATATACCTTAGACAATTTGAAGCTATTGCGACAGCCAATCATCGGACAGAACAAGAAAAAGCTGTTTCCTTGACTGCTGCTTTACGAGGTGATGCTGCAGATATCCTAACATCGATTCCTAAGGGTCAAGAAAAATGTTACCAGACCTTGTTCACTCGACTAGACAAACGTTACGGAGATGCCCATCTACAACAAGTCTACAAAGTACAAATAAGAAGTAGAATTTAACGAGCAAGTGAGAGTTTGCAAGAATTTGAAGCAGATATTGCTCGTATAGCGCTGTTGGCCTATCCAGAGGCACCAGACAACATTTTGGAAGAAATTGCTGTAGATGCCTTCGTCAATGGGTTAAGAGACAATGAACTACAGAAAGCTTTACGACTAGCAAGACCGAAAGTTTTAGATGAAGCGCTCGCCATTGCCTTGGAACATGAGATAGCTAGTCGAGTTTCACGGAGCTATCAAGTACGAACCTCTGAAGAGAGTGACGAACGAAACGATAAACGTCTGGAGGAAATCGTACGGAAAGTAGTTCGTAACATGATGCCGAAGAGACCTGAACCCAGACGTTGGAATGGTAAAAACGAAGGTCACATTCGCCACAAAGTGCAAGAAAATAATACAACAGTCAGAAAGCTAGAACAGATCGAGCACGCTAGAAAAAGTCATTCAAATGCTGATGTTCAATCAAGACGGCCATACAGTGAAAATCGTAATCATTGTCTTAAATTATTTAAGACCCGTTCGCCCGTGAGGCGAACCACCGTTGTTAATGATCAATGGCAGCCTCAACAGCTACAAGACGCTCAAGCAGATGATCCATGTATAAAAAGAGTATTGGATTGGGTACGTCGAAGTGAAAGACCTTCTTGGCAAGACATTAGTGCATGTAGTCCCGAAGTCAAGTGTTACTGGAGCCAATGGAATTGCCTAGTGCTGAAAGATGATCTTCTGTATAGAACCTTTGAGAACGATGATGGTACAGAAACTAAGCTTTAGTTGATTGTACCTAAAAGTAAAGTATCAGAAGTATTGCGTCAGTTGCATGACGGTGCATCAGGTGGACACTTTGGTATTATTAAGACTCTGCAAAAGGTTCGAGAACGGTTCTATTGGGTGAACTGTAAAGATGATGTAAGAAGATGGTGCTGGAAATGTGAACTGTGTGCAACTAGTAATGGTCCAGTTGGTAAAAAGAGGGCACCCATGAAACAGTACAATGTTGGTAGTCCTATGGAGAGTGTAGCAATCGACATTGCAGGTCCACTTCCAGAGACGAATGATGGAAATAAATATATCCTGGTAGCCATGGATTATTTTACGAAATGGACTGAGGTCTATGCGATACCAAATCAAGAAGCTGCTACCGTAGCAGAGGTACTTGTTAAAGAATTCTTTAGCCGATTTGGTGTTCCCTTGGAGATCCACTCCGACCAAGGACGAAACTTCGAGTCAAACCTTTTCCAAAACGTTTGTAAATTGATTGGTGTCAATAAGACCAGGACACTTCTGCATCCTCAATCAGATAGAATGGTCGAGAGGATGAACCGAACGATTGGTAAACACCTGTCCAAAGTTGTATCAAAACATCAAAGAGATTGGGATCAGCACATTCATTTATTCTTAATGGCATACCGCTCGGCCGTGAATGAAACTACAGGCCAGACTCCAACCTGCCTGATGTTAGGTCGTGAAGTTCGTTTGCCCTGTGACCTAGAGTTTGGCTGCAGACCTTCCGAAGAACATGTTACAAGCGAAGATTATGTCGATCGCCTGAAGTTAAGAATGAACAGCATTCATGAACTTGCCCGACAACACATCCAGTTAGCCAGTCACAGAATGAAATATCAATACGATTCTCGGTGCAAGAATGAAAGCTATGAAGTAGGTGATCTTGTTTGGCTTTATAATCCACAACGTCGTCGTGGCTTGTCTCCTAAACTGCAAAGACAATGGGAGGGTCCGTATGAAATTAAAAAGAGAATAAATGACGTAATATGCCGAATTAAGAAGTTGCCGAAAGGTAAACCAAAAGTATTTCACATAAATCGTCTTGCCCCTTATGCTGGCTCAAATGAAACCGAAGAAGTCCGAACCCTTCAACATGAGATCAAAGATAAACGGCGACCAAGCTTTAAGGAGTTTATGTCAAATTACGCAGAGAGAAAGAATGCTAGATTCGGCGTGACGACAGAAGTTCAGCAGGATCTTTTTAGTGTTCCGCATAACATCTCTCTAGCCCACTGTGTTGCCCAAGATCTTGAGATGACTAAAGTAATCTCATCCGTATTTTATAAGAAATTTGGTCGCTTGGAAGAGTTAAAAAACCAGCAGCCGAAGTTGGAAAAGTGCTGAGATTAGAAGATGGTTCTCGATCTTTGCTGTATATGGTGACCAGGAAGTCGTATACAGACAGGGCAACCTACGAGGATATATGGTGTGCTCTAACTAATTTGAAGAAAATCGTCTGCAATTACGACATTATGAATTTGGCCTTACCCAAGATAGGCCATGCACTAGATAATCTGGATTGGAAGATTGTCAGAAGCATGCTTGAAGTGATCTTCCGAGAAACCGGCGTAAGAATTACTGTGTGTTGTACTAATCCGAAGAGATCGTGTCCTTCAAAGACAGTAGACTGTTATTTCTTTCTGAGGGGTTCATGCAGAGATGGAGAGTCCTGTAGATTCCGCCATCCTGGGCCTACATATAGAGTTGCTGATCGGGACGCCCAGATCTAAGAGGGGAGCAGTGTTACGAACATGCTTTCGGCATGGGCATGTAACGGATGTATCTCGAAGGATCGAGAAGTTACTGGCCATATATCGAGCGCTGGAAAATTCCACCCTTCGTCAGATAACGAATTAGAGATGGGACTACTCCTGAATATTCTCGAACATAGTAACTTTAGTATATATAGGTAACGAAATTAGGAGTTAAGTTTGGTGGATAAGATAGTATCGAACTGTAAAGTTATAAATAAATATATTTATATAAATTCGAACCGCTCGTTTTATTTAATCTCGCTACAATAGTTTTCATCTATTCGTCATCTAGTAACCCCCACCTATGTCTTACAAGCTTGATATCTTTTTTTTTTAACCAGACTGGTCTATACCGTTATGATGACATTTATAGAATCATACTTACATCAGGCAATTCATGTGATGAATCATCGCTATTTCCTGTACCTTCTTTTAGTTTGCAATACGGTATTCCTTTGGTTTTACCTTTGGTCATTGACACTATGCTTACTGACAAATTTACCCTGGTGGTATAGCAGGTAAATGTTGTAAAAAATACCATACATGCTATCCAAAATCTTATTGGTATTTCTGAAAAATAAAAACAAAATTAATAATGCACTAATGTTGAAAATAATTTTAAATATACGTTAGATATAGTGTAGAGTGTATTTAATAGGAAAGACAAATGGACACCATGGTGGAATAAGGAGCTAAAAATGGAAAGAAGAGAAAAAAAAGAAATTATGGAAAGACTACATTCAAGACAAAACATATGGAAAAAAATATTGGCTAGAGAATGGCCAAATGCAATAATTGTACCTGTGGAAAAGTAGAGAAACATAATATAGTGACAGAACTGTAGAAGCATATTCCTGTTAGGTGTGTCATTAATGACATTACATTACTATACGAAATAAAAATAAAAAAGAAAAATCAGGTTAAAAATAGAATATAAACTAAACTACGTACAAAGCGGATTCAGAAAAGGACATAACAAACAAGACCATACATTCACTATGCAGCAAGTAATAGAAAAAGTCTTAAAGAAAAATAAAGAAGTATACACAAGTTTTATATACATGGAAAACGCATTTGATTCAATCGAAAGAAAAACTATAAAGCAACTAAAAGTATATATAGGAAATCAATAAATACAGTAAGAGCACAAAATTTGCAAGCGCAGTCATTTGAAACAACGTGAGGAGCTAGACAAGGACGTAGTTTAATCCCAGTACATTTTATAAATGTAATAAATGAGATCATGAAAACATGTAAAAAAAAATTTAAAAATACTATATAGGATGGAATAGAATGCAGAGATATCCGTATTAGTAGATGGCATGGCACTATTCGTCAAAAACAGGAAAACTGAAGTACAATTAAAAAATGGAATACCGAACCAAAAAAATAAAACCCAAATATAAATAAAGAGAAAACACAGATAATAAAAATAACAAGTAAAAAGAACATGAAAGATCTAATCGAAGTATGTAGTTATAGATCAACAAAAAATAAGTACGCCAACAAAACAAATACCTGGAAAGAGTAGTAAATAACAAAGAAAGCATCGAGAACCAACACAACAATAGACTAGAGAACACAAGAAAACTATTCCATGCACTAGACTATTCCTCAACAACAAAGAAATATCAAGGAAAACTAACATGACAATATATGAAACGATATTTAGTTCAATGTTAACATATGGAGCATAAAATTAGATTTTAAACAGAAGACACCAGAGTAGGATACAAGCAGCAGAAATGAAATTCAAGAGGATTAAATAATTATTTTATTTTAATTTATTTTGATTGTATTCATTGAATAACTTTATCTTTTGTTAAATTATTTTATTTATAATTCTTTTATGCAGACCCTATTATGTTTCTGAGATGACAGAACATATATAAATTTCTATGCCTCAGAACAGTATATCTGTTAGTTGGCAACTCTGTTTTCTCATGTCACTTTTCATTGCCACAATTCTGTAGAGGTGGATTATATTCTTTTTTATATTGTCTTTTGCTTATTTTAGCTGGTGCTGGTAGTATTTTGAATCTTGGTATGGCAAGGAAATATTTCTAAACACCTAAAGTGGCTAACACAAGGTTACTTTTTTAGATTTTTTGGCCTAATTGTTTTCCACCTTTTTAGGTAATGAATTCTGCAGCATATTATCGATCATGCACTAATAACTGCAGCTGATATTTAGAACCCAATGACCACTAGAAGACAGCATTGTGAAAGTATCTTAATTCAACCACATATCAGCATTTAACCACTACATTCTGCTGCAATCCTACTCTGCAATCCTACTCTCACGTCCTCGAAGGCAATACGCCGCGTAACCACTGGGTGCATGGCGCACAATGGGTGTGCGTTATGTAGCTGACGAGAGAGGGTGAAAGGCGAGTTTCTGGCGCCTTAAAACTGGAACATATCGGCTATAGGAATAAACCCTGACAGAAAATTGGTTTTCAACAAGGTTAGCACCCTACTGTAGGACTCTAAACCAGCCAGCTCAAAGAAACAGGTTAATGCCTCGGAACAGGACCGAATCTACGACGATGACCAATGCGAGAAAAAGGACAACGAATTCATGGAAAACGAAAAACATACTCCGAATCGGTACTTGGAACGTAAAATCCTTGAACAGCAGAGAACAAGAAATTACCAATAAACTAACGGAGAAAAATATAGATATATGAGCACTCAAGGAGACCAAGAAAAAAGGAAAGGGTCAAATTATGCTAGATAATTACTTGTTGATTAACAGCGGCGTGGCAGAAGAACCCAGAGCTAAAGAAGGAGTAGCCCTACTTTTACACAAGAAATTCATTGAACAAATAGAGGATTGTAAATACATTTCACAAAGAACAGTTTACGTAAAATTTAAACTAAATGATAAGTCTCTATACATAATAGCCATTTATGCTCCAGAGAACAACAGAGACGCAGACACAAGAGAAAACTTCTTCGAACACCTCCAAAACACGATAAATGAGGTCCCTAAAAATGAATTTATGATCGTTACGGGCGACTTTAATGCCCGTGTTGGCAACGGCATCGTACCAGGGATAAAACAGCGTCATAACGAAGACATCAGAAATGAAAATGAAGATCTCCTCACGGACCTATGTAGCACGAATGAACTACGCATCAACAATACTTTTTTCCCTCATAAGGAACAATACAAATACACATTCGAAAATACAAGAGGTCAAAGGTCAATGATAGACTACATCCTGATGAACAGGGTAATACATCCCTCTCAAGTATTGGACATAAGAGCACTTACATCTGCAGAAATAGGAAGCGACCATAACCTTATACTTGGAAAAATTCTAATGACGACACGCATATGTAACAATAAAAACAATAAAAATAAAAAAGAAGAATACACCACAAAGGTAAAAGTCGAGAGTCTGCAGAACGAATCAACAAAACTTCTATATCAAAAGAGAGTCAAAGATAAACTCGACAACGTGCAAAAAGATAAGAAACGAAACAATAGCACTAGTAAAAAAATTAAAAACGAACACTGGGAACGCTTCTCAAAAGAAATGGAACACAAGTTTTACGGTCTACAAAAGGAAATATGGCGTTTCATAAGAGGCCAAAGATCAGAGATGAAAGACTTAATCGAACCGAAACACATAGATAACGACACATGGATTGAATAACTAAAGAAGCTTTATAATGATGAACAGCAAATTATGTTAGAACCAGAAACACCAGAAATCATTACAAACGAGGAAGTCGAGATAACCGTACAAGAAGTAAAACAAACTTTAGAAAAACTGAAGAACAGAAAAGCTGCAGGTAAAGATGGAATTCCAAATGAATTATTGAAATATGGTGGAGAAGCATTAACAGAACAGCTAACAGCACTAATTAACAAAATCATCAAACATAATAAAATACCTGAAGAGTGGAAGAAAAGCGAGCTTATCCTACTATACAAAAAAGGAGATAAAAAACAACCTGAAAACTACAGAGGTATCAACCTATTAAACACCACTTTGAAGCTTATAACCAAAATTATACAAGGCCAAATAAATCAGAGAATTTCCTTAGCGGATTCATCATAAAACAGATTACCGAGAAAGCACTAGAGTATAACAGACCAGCATTTATATGTCTAATAGACCTGAAGAAAGCGTTCGATAAAGTAAAGCTTAAAGATGTAATTCACCTTCTTTACGATAGAGAAATTCCACTAAATGTTATAAAAACAATAGAGAACATTTACCAGAACAACAATATGGAAGTCAGAATAGATGACCAGCTTACAGATCCAATAGATATGGGCAATGGAATAAGACAAGGAGACTCGCTTAGTCCAACGCTATTCAATCTAATCATGGATGAAATCATCAATACTATTAATGATAATGATTTCTAAGAAGAAGAAGATTCTACTGCAATCTTGTCCAGCTACAAGAGAACATCTGAAGCCATATGTAAGTATCTACTATATCGAAACTAAATACATAACTAAAGAGAATCTAACAATTAGTGAACAATGGAAAATGTGTAAAAATTTTATTAAAGACGCAACAAATAACATCCTAGGGCCGCAAAGACCACCACCATGCAAGGAGTGGTTCGATGCTGACTGCGAGGACATTACAAGAAGAAAGAACAATGCATATAAACTTATGCAGCAAAGAAGAACCCGACAAAAAGAACAAAAATATAAAGATCTCAGAAGAGAAGAGAAGTACATCCATCGAAGAAAAAAGCGAATAAAATATTGAAAGAACTTGAGGCATTAAAAAAGGAAAATCAAACAAGAAAATTCTATAAAAATCTAAATAATACAAGAAAAGAATTTTAACCAAGGATCGGACTATGTAAGGATAAGGAGGGGCTTATACTTAATACAAAAGAAGAAGTATTGAAAAGGTGGGTGGAACACTTTAAAGAACTACTTACTATCGAAGCAGAAGATCCAAATCAACCTTCACCAGGAGCAAGCAACAATACACCATTGGAGTCTCCATCAATTCAAGAAGTATATGATACAATAAAACACCTTAAAAATAATAAATCTCCAGGCAGTGATGGTATATCCGCGGAACTTAATAAATGTGGAGGTGCTACTCTGACTAACCATATATACAAAATCATACTGAGAGGCTAGAATGAGGAGCAAATCCCGGAAGAGTAGTATATTGGGATCGTTTGCCCGCTACACAAAAAGGGTGATCAATTGGAATGTAAAAACTATATGGTAATAACCCTCCTTAATACAGCATACAAAATATTTTCGAGTATTTTATATAGTCGCCTGAGTGCATATTCAGAGGAGTTTCTTGGCACATGTCAACGTGGTTTTAGGCCTGGTCGATCAACAACAGACCAGCTCTTTGTGCTAAGACGAATACTGGAAAAAAACCAATGAATTCAATATCGACACATACCATATTTTCGTAGATTTTAAATCGGCCTATGATAGTGTCCGAAGAAATAAATTGTATAAAGCCATGGATGAATTCTACATTTCCGATAAACTAATGAGATTGGTTAAGGCTATAATGTGTAAAGTTGTTTGAAAGTCGAAATACAAGGCAAACAATCACATG